CATATGTTCTAATTTAAGGGCAGTAGCCATCTGCGGGACCACTCATCCAATCAACGAAGGTTTTCTTGGAAGTTGATTTCATCGGTAGTTTTGTAGATGGCTTTTCAGATTTAGATATCATCCGCAAATATGACACAATCACTGTGCAGTTCGTGTACACGGCCAATAATTAACAAGGAAACAGGGTCAGTAGGAGCACTGAGCCTTGTGGAACTCTGCTCTCTATGACTGTGCGCCTTGATTGCTGTTGCTCTATGCAGACGACTTGGGAACGACCGACGGGAAAATTCTCGATCCACTCACCAAGTTGTCCTCTGATGCCCATCACTCTCAGCTTATAAAGGAGACACAAGTGCGGAGTACTTCCAAAGGCCTTTCTGAACTTAATATGGGCCACGTATACAATGCGTTTCGCAGCGAGTGCTCCCGTCCAGCTTTGCTTCATGTAAAACAGTTTCATTATACACGATCTTTCCCTTCGCAGGCCACACTGTTCACTGGACAAGAGGTTCTGGGTTTCCGCATAAATCATTGATTCCTTTCTGATGGTGTTCATGACTTTGCAGTATAATGATGTAAGACTGAGGGGTCTGGAATTGTTCCCAAGTGCACGACCACTGCTTTTATGAAGCGGGACGGTATGGAAAGTTTTCTAGTCTCTGGAGAGAGTTTCCGTAGCAGATGATTCCTGGCACAGTACGGATAGCGGTTTTTTTCAGCTCTCGGGCGAGTTCGAGAAGCAGCCTTGACGGAATCTCATCCGGACCGGTAGATTTACATTTAATCAAGCCATTTGGTTCCTTGAAAGTTGCATTTTCTCAAAACATAATGCTTACAATAAACGACTGTTCAATGCTCTCATAGCTAGGTGGAATTAAAACTACTTCTCCTATGCAAACAACCTGGAAGAACTGGGAAGTTGCTCGGGTTTGCTTGTGCTGTCCAATATCTCCAAACCGTCATCATTCCTAGTGACAGGGATCGGGTTTCCATCGCTAGTGCTCTTTTTCAAGTAGCCGTAGAGAAATCCTGGAGTTTGGACTGCTCGCTGGAGTAAATTGTTCTCAAAATCTTTCTCTTTTTGAAAATCAAGCCCTTCATTCTTTCCTTTGGACTTTGTACCCTGTAAAGTCTAAATCACAGTTGTTTCTGCAAAACATTTTCAGCAGTCTCCCTTTCTTGTTGATCTCCATTTGAGACCCCCGTTTGGCCACTGAAGTCGGTTGGAAATCCTAGGCTTTATAAGGCACAGTGACTCTCCACTAGATGCAACAACCAAATAAATTTCAAACCACGGTGACTATTACGGAGACCTCCGGCGGCGTTGGGTCATGACCCAAGATGCTGAACAGAGGACCAAGCCGGCTGAGTGAGACACGCGTGGAGTTAGATGGCCGAACAGCGTGCACAGCAGCACCGAGCACGTGTGATGGTCTTGCTCACGCGTGCGGCCGAATCGGTGGCTGGTCGAAAATTCCAGACTTTTCCGCGGGGGATTCTCGAACACGCGGTAGTCAATGCGCGACCAGCAGGCCATGAACAGGAACGTCCTAGAATGCCCTCAAAGCTTGAAGTGCTATTGGGCCGAATGTCCCAGAATGCACGAAGGCCGACATTAATATGCTGTCATTCTGTCGAGTTGAAACCCCAAGTCCTCAAGGTTCCAGCAAAGTGCTTGTCTTCCAAATCGGCTCTCTTCCATTTCCGCCTCCCTTCCGGGACATAGCAGTAACCTACTCGGAGAAGAGGACAGCCCAGTCTATTTGTGTTGTCTGGGCTCTCATTAGGCAAAACTTTCCTTGCCTTTTATTTGGCCTCATCTCATTTATTGCCTACGAGGAAGAATATAGTCCTTCCCCTCTCAAAAATTACTGCACTTCCCCTACAACCAAGCGGAGGTAGACAGTATACTTTGCCTAAAACTTCAGGAACTTTGATGGACACGAGATCAAACAACCGGTCTTCTGTCTTCTAAACGCTCTAGTTGGAAATAGAACAGGCTGTATGAGAAGCGCTTCAAGTGTTGTCAAGTGTCAGAGCTGTAAAAACCTCTTTCGACTTTCTTTGAGCTTTCAATGAGAACAAGAAGACTGCCATCACACTGGAAGATAGTTAACCTCGTTCCCTTACATAAGGGAGGTAGCAAGATTGCGGCAAGCAGCTTCAGGCCTATTAGCTTAACTTGCCTCTCATGCAAAACGATGGAAGCTCTAGTAATGAGCAATTTTGTGAAGAGGATAACATCTTGCAGGTTGTTCAACATGGCTTTCGGAGAGGACGTTCCTGCCTCTCAAATCTTCTAGCTTGTCTGGAGATCTGGACCAGGGCTCTAGAAGAGGGTATTAGGGTCGATGTCGTGAACATCGATTTCCGCAAAGCTTTCGATACTGTTCCGCACCAACACCTTCTTCACAAATTGAACGTCATTGGCATCCGGGGAGATCTTCTGAACTGGATAAGGGCATTTCTAGTTGGTCGGAAACAACGTGTCTGTATCGGAGATGATATATCAGAATGGGTGAACGTGACCAATGGTGTGCCTTAAGGCTCAGTTCTGGAACTACTTTTCTTCATCCTTTATGTGAATGACAGCCTTCAGGAGCTGGACAGCTGCAAAATAATGTTTGCCGACGACGTTGAGCTCTGGCAAGTCATACAGAGTCCTTACGATCATAGAACTCTCCAAAACAATCTGCATCGACTGCAAGCGTGGTCGGAGAAATGGCTTCTGGATTCCAATGTACTGAAGTGTGCCGTCCTCCATCTGCGTACAGCCGACTCTCATTCAAATGAGAGCCTGAGGACATATCACCTGAATGATATAAGTCTCCCCGCAGAATCTTCACAGAAGGATCTCGGGGTTTGGATACAGAACAACCTGAAACCAACACTGCAGTGCCACAAGGCTGCAAAAATGTCATGGGAGTGCCTCATGCAATCAAAAAGACGTTCGTAACCTTTGACCAAGGCCTTTTAGGAGAGTTTACGACACCTTTGTTCGGACCCACTTAGAATATGGCCTACGAGCATGGCGGCCGTGGCTAGTAAAGAACCAAGCATGCCTTGAAAGGGTACAACCTCGTGCAGCGAAGCTGGTAAACGGTCTAAATAGTGCTTGCAGCCTGGCGTGAGTTGTGAAATTTATGCCAGTGCACATATTGTTATGTGACTTATGGGCTTTGCAGGCCAAAACTAATTTCTAAAGCTTTTACTTAACGCCTTTCATTCATTATCTGGCCAGGTCCTGTTTAGCCTTCCCGCAGTTGGCACGCGGTTTCAGTAAAATCACTAACTGTTACTCAACCTTTCCGAATTATCGCACACAGCTTTGATTTCAGCTAAAACCTTCACCACTTAAACTTTTTCTTGAACACCTGCAGTGCTCCCGCTGTCTACATATTTTCACTAATTATATCCATCTTACTGGCGATGTTACAAGTCGAGTTCGGTGGCCATTCGTCTTTTTGACATATTTTCACTAGGCTCCAGAGGGTAGGCTGCAAATGAACCTAAATAACCTAAAGGAATGTTCACCTCGTTGGCTTATGTGGTTCAAAGTCGCTCCGGGTATTCCTTCCAGATTCGTCACCATTGGAAATTGCTAACTCAACGATGCAATCTTGCAAGATGCGTAAATTCAAAAAGATCCCGGTGTGTCGACGACAAACTCCTTAAAACAGTCCGCTCTTTCCTCGACATCGGGAGGAGCATAATGTCCGCACGATACGCCACCAAGACAGACCTCACGGATTTTTAGGAAGGTTAATTCTTCAAGATCTTTGAAGTATTCATAAGACTGCACAAAAATACGCCATGTTAACCTGGAGACAGTGGACAGTTAAAGATCAAAATAACCTTAAAAGAATTCAAAGAAAGGCATAAAAATTGTAACGGGTCCAAAATCTTGGTGTATGCAGCATGCTTAACACGTCAAAATATACAACACCTTATTTATGGGCAAATACACGTTGGTTTATTATAGGCAGCCTGCATTGTGAAAAGACTGGATTGCAGCCTACCTTAAAGGAATACTTTCGCTTTGCCAGTTTGGCCGACGCCCGAGGTCACGCATCAATATTATACGTTCAGTCGGTGAGCCGGGATGTGCAAGCATTCTCGCTCTCTGTCAGAGTGATAAAGGCATGGAATGCCCTCCCCGAAGATGTTATCATGCGCGGCTTGGAAAGGTACCCTGATACGTTTATGTTGTGAAGTTCTCATAGTTCTCAAGTTCTCATAGTTCTCATAAAATCAGGATTCTGTTTGAACTATTACAGTCCATGTGGTTTTAATGCGCACTGAACCCAAATTTACGTTGCAAATGAGATCTTCAAAGACTCTCACACACTGCCCCTTATAAAGTGAGTTGGACTGAACTTATAAATAATTGTACGGTCGTAAATTATTTTTCAGGATTTTGCATGGTTGTTCAAGTTGTAGACTATGCAGAACCCATAACTTTAGTTTGCCTGGGTAATACAGCACAGTAAGATTCCAAAGATACTAAAATATTGTGCTTAAGTTATAACCTATAACATTAAATATATACCTATGGAAATACCAAACAAAATTTTGCGGTAGTACTAATAGGTTTTTAGTACGCTAAAATCAGAGCGGGACAGACGGCTTTGGTCTTATTTTCGCAGACTGTCTTTTGCAATGGTACATGCTAAGTTACGACACTTCAGGGAGCATTTCGCCCTTAACAATCGCATCAAAGAGTTTTCTGGTTATGGGGGCAAAATCCATGCACTTGGATGGAATAATGCAGGCTCTAAATTGGCTTCTGCTTCATCAGACAAATCTGTCAACGTCTATTCACTGGATTCCACCCGACTGGTACTTCACGATACATCTAACAGTGCCAGACGAAACTGCAATCGTTCAGGGGACATACTGAAAGCGTTGACCAGCTTGCATGGCATCCTAGCGACAACGACATTCTGGCAACTGTCGGTGCTGACGGGGCAGTTCGTCTTTGGGACTGTCGGTCGAAAAAGATGCCAGGAACAGCTCAACTAAAAGGAGAAAATATAAATATCGCTTGGTCGCCGGATGCGCGCACAATTGCTGTCGGCAACAAAGCAGACTTGGTACGTTGATGATTTTGCGTCAGCGTTATTCACGACACTTAGTTGACGACGACTTTACTCATCTAAGACGGAGTTATTCCTGATTGTACATGTATTGCAGGTTCTAGAGAGTTGTAGACATCGAATGCCTATGGTTATATTCGTGTTAATTGAACTTCGCAAGGTTCTCCAGTCTTTATTTCCCTTTTCTTTGCAACTTTTTCACATTGTGACAAAAGTGTTGATCCTGTGGTCAAGCCTCCAAAGACATGTTGTCCTTATCCGTAACCATATCAGACCTTTGTACTAAGCCACGTCAAGTAGTTTAACTTATGACAGTTATTCATTTGGATCACTTCGTATTTTCCACTCTCTTTATTAACACTCCAAGTAGTGCACGTTTGAGGGCTTTTAACCAATTCTTTATTTTCCCAGATTACATGGCTCGATGTTCGTTCTGGACTGTCACAAATCCAGTCAGAACAATTTAATTTTGAAATCAATGAGTTCGCGTGGAAGCCGTCCGGAGATGTTTTCTTGTTGGCTACAGGCCTAGACAGCATCTTGGTTTACAGGTACTGCCTTTTTACCCGTTTTAGAAAAAAAAAACCAGGAGTTATTTATCACTCCTACTCGATTATGCAGTTAACCTGACGTGGTTTAAAAAAAACCGTGAAAGCAGTTCTTTTGTCTGGTTGACGTTTAGTGATTGCAACGACAGGCGATCGATAACCCTGCAAAAGGCGGGTAAATCCTGACAAATTATAAGGTGGCTGCTGGAACACAAAGTATTATGGCTTGGTCGTATACGTTTCATCGTCCGCGCTGCAATAGGGATAAAACGACTGTTAGAATTTTTATTTACCAACAGTCCTCATTTTTCCCTGCATATATCTACTTGATGCTGTGAGAATTAATTGGAACATTTTCCCACTGTGACACTACCAAACTTGCATGACTACCGAACTGTGGATGATGACTCTGTCTTTAAATCTACTTTTCAATTGGGAAACAGGGCCGGTCGCCCTCAGTACCACGACATGTCTGTTATTTTCATATGCTGTTAGAGTGTTCGCGACTAAGGGGAGAAAAAGACCAGGCCGAGGCTCGATCTGGCTGTTTTAGTTCACTTATGATCTTTGACAGTCGACAGCACCGTGTTTTATATCTTTTTTCGACAGCCTTGCACAATCTTACGGATACGCTGGCAGCTTTGCATTACCTCTCGTGTTCTATGCCGTTTTCTGCAATACTAGTTCGTGTCCAGTTGATGGTTCAATGCCGACCGACCGTCCGACCGACATTGGCTTTCCTGGCTTCGAATTACAACGACTTACACATTGCCTGTTTTTCGGGTGAAGCAGGTCTCCAGTCATTTAGTTTATCCGTCAACACAGCAATTAATTTAATCGTTGTCGTAAACAGCAGCGAAGTACTCATTATTTAAGAGGGTTTATTAATGAAAATGGGTGTTTTTACCCGGTGTCCCAAACTCCTTTTGATTTCGGGACGTTTATACTTACGTCGTGCAGTTTCCATGTTCTCAGTGTACTAACCCTCGAAGTTATGTTGCCGTCGCATATGCGTCCCAGCAGTCATTGATCTAACGTTTGCTTTATACTCAAGATCTGACAGATCTTTATTTTGGCGGACATTGCAAAGATACGCTTCCTGCGACTCCGTTCACAAATTGGGATGTCCGCAGCCTTCTTAGCCTTTAAGATTTTCGAGGACAGCTGAAGTGCCAGTTGTAGAGCTTCCTGGCGTGTCGATTATCGGCGCATTGACAAGCAAAATTGCATTTCCTCCACTTTGTGCAGCATGGATTGTTTCGGCTTCTCAGGTTACGTTGACACTCTTTGGCACTGACTGTAAGCCCTTGCCTTTGAAACCGGATAACTTATCGAGGTCTCTATTAACTGCCTCTTTACAGCTTGAAGGCATACAGTTGAGAGTGTTTCGAAAGTGTTCGGTCTAAACTTTTTTCTCAATGATCTATCAAACAACCGCTGAATGTGTTGTTGTAGACTTCTTTCATGGCCACGATGAAGTTCGCCGCTTCACTCCAGTCAACATCTTTTGGATTTCTTTGAGTTTCTGACGCGTCTAGAGGTTTATGATGTTTCTCATTCCCTATCTTCTCTATCGCCAAACGCCTGGCGAACTTGGCTTTGCTCATTTGTTATGTGAATGTCGCTAGTCAGGCGGGTTTTAAATCTTGTCCGTGTAGGAACATTCCTTGTGTCGCCAAATAGGCCTAAAAATTTCCAGACGTAATCAAAGTCGCGAAAGGCATTGCACTTTTTAGTATTTCACTCTTGCTTAGCTGGGAAGCACTGCACTTTCCGGATTCTGCTTAGCTGATTTATATACTGCCTTCCTGAAAACTGTCTTCTTGTTTGAACTTACAGTTTTATCAAATAAAGAGGGGTGTTTCGCTGGGTCGCAGATCGCTTTCGTAGCGGACACACCACATATGTTTGCTCTTCCTAGCGTGATTGACCTGTTCACCTTCGGTACAGAGTCGTGAATGAGTAAATGCGCCCTCGCAGCTTGCCCTTTATGTCCTTGGTTGCCTAGGGTTGGCCAATCGGGGAGTCAGCTTCCGCATGTCTCTCCTCATGCCGATGCAGAAGTATCCGGACTTTCGCTCCTTCCCCGAGACTTCTGGTGACTGTGGTCTTTCCTTTTGATGGATCGCCTGTCTTGTGATTTGTGTACGCTGTTTCATTAAAAGCACCCCGTTCCTCGGTTTCTGATGGGACGTGACAGGACTAGAACAGTAGCTGTACTCTACGACCTCTAGCGGGTCCTACCAACCCATACACTCTGCCTGAATCTCAGACGGAGCTCTCAGCTGCCGCTGTTAGACCCCCTGTTTTTTTATAATTTCAATACTCACCTGGTATTTTCTGCATATTTCTCTTTTCTGCTTAATAAATTCTTACAAATCCTTCCAGTGGAAAGCCTGGTGAAATGCGACGAGAGATGAGTATTCAGGCTCATCCAGTCAATGCTATGTGCCTTCAGTTCTCTCCCTCTGGGAGTTACTTCGCCGTTGGCAGTGCAGACGCCCTCGTCTCCATCTGGGATGCTGACGAGTTCGTGTGCTTAAGAACCTTGGCTAGGTGAGTTAAGATGCGTATGTCGTATCCTTTCTTCTTTTATTTGCAGTTATCAAACACCCTTGGGTCACGGTTTTTTACTTCTACCACTCCACCTAGCACGCACCTATAATAACCTACCTAATTTAGTGTCCTGGGTTAGGCGGGATCACCGAGAAAGAACATTCCGCCCGATCCCATTTTAAATCGTCACAGCTCAGGCTCAGCGCCTTCGGGCCGGCAGCCGCGCAGGCGGCCAGGACCAGCCAGCGGAAAAGGCTGGCTTATGTGCCGGCTAGATTCGTTCAGTAACACACAGTTTGCCCGGGAATGCTTTAGAACTGTAGGGATTTCCTTGATTTCTTAGGGTTGTCTCAGTATTTGATAAGTTACGGCCAGAAAATGACGGTTCCAGCCCTCACTCTGCATCCCATTTGCGCTTTCTCGTCTTTCATCCCAGGCTGGAGTGGCCGGTGCGTGCTCTAGGATTCTCGCATGACAGTCAACTCATTGCTTCCGCCAGCGAGGATCACTTCATCGATATTGGATGCGTAGAGACAGGTAGTTCTTCTTCTGTCAACCTATTGCCGTTTGCCTTTCCTAACGGAAATATTTTGCAACTTCGCTGATTAGCAGACAGTCAGTAGGCCACAACTGAACTGATTCGCATCCACAAGCCCAGTGAACATTGAACTATGTGGAAACATTAATAGCCACGTTCCTACCAGCTCCAACACCAGACGCCCAAACTTGTGGGTTTCTCTTGTTTTCTGCATAACTCAGTCCTCCCAAGACGGAGAGTCAGGCTGTAATGGATTTTTTTTAATATGGCCTTTTTGGCGGTCTTACGAACGTGAAATTTGAGTCGTCCTTTCCTATATCTGTGAAAACGTGATTTGCCAGAGAACGGGTACAAAAAGGGATATTTTTGTTTATATTGACCCAACTGTGAAAAACTGGACGCCTCGGTGGGATTCGAACCCACGCAGTAAGGAGAAGGCTTTAGTACAGCCAACGCTCTAACCACTTGAGCTATGAGGCCCCGCCGGACGACTCGAGTTTAATCACATTTGGGTCAAGTTACCCGTCCAGCCTACTGCAACGTCTGGAATCCACCAAATCCGATACAGTAAGTTGACTGCCCAAGCAGGATTTCCTAAGTAATTCACCTAGAATCCGCCAGATGACTACCGGGCTCACGTAATTCATAGATGTTTTGGCAGATTTTGAATAATTCATATTGACCCAACTGTGGAAAATTGCGTGGGTTCGAATGCTACCGAGGCGCCGAGTTTTTCACAGTTGGGTCAATATGAATTATTCAAAATCTGCCAAAACATCTATGGATATTTTTGCGTTTGCTTTCCACAAAATATGCTGGGATACATACAAGATCGTTGAAGAAGGTGCATACCACATAGGCAGTCATTTTTTACAGTGTGATGCTTGCATACGGCGAAAAGAAGCGTGTTCAAAAGCCGGTACGCTGGTGTTACTGAAATATTTTCGGATTATGCTTCACGATGCTCAATATTACAATCACACGTGAGTAGCCCTTTTTAGTTGGTTAGTGTTTCACTGAGGGCTTGTACCCACAGACATCAGCCTTCGGGCCTTTTCCCCATACTGATCTTGCCCGAATAATAAGGTTTCTCCAAATCACAGGAAGTCAATACCTGCCTTTCATCGTCCCCGTTTCACACGAAATGTCCATCTTGTAATCTTGTTTTATTTGCTACTAACTGTTTATCAGTAAGCAGACATTTCTCGGATCACGCTTTCCTTGTTTCTGCATCGTTACTCGTCGTTCTTTGTTCATTGCTCTCTGTTGTCGTTCGCTTTTAAATCGACCATCACGCGCTGATGTTATTCACTCGACTGCTTGTTCAGTCATCTCGAGTGTATGTCTCCTTTTTAATTTATACCCCGCCTTGTTAACTCTATCGTGCTCGGCTAATCTTACAGCTTATTACAGAAGCACAAAGAATATCAGAGTTACTGCGACTTTCTTCTGATATAGCCTTTGACTCGGGTGTGTATATTCTGGCGAATAAACTAGCACTGGATCGAGAAAATCCAAAGAATTTTAACTCCCCCACCGATAAGGACAGTGTACTTTTTGTGGTTCCGTTGAGCCCTGTCGTTCGGTGAAGATCCGGGCTGGCCGGAGCAAGTATGACTTTTTCTTCCTCCCCTCTCTTGCCATGTACAGGTGAACAGGTCTACCGACTGGGCACACAGTCTGCGGCCACATTCGTGCTGGCCTGGCACCCGCGTTGCCACCTGCTCACCTACTCTAGTGAGGCCAAGTACGAACGCGATCAGGGCATCATTCGCCTCTTTGGACTGCCCCTGTCATCCGATGGCGGGGATCGGAAGCCGGCACTAATTAGCGAACACCCTGCCTGATGAGAACTTCCTACTGTCGCCGCAGCCGTGCTCAACCCGATGCAGCCCCTGCACATGACCCTTTTGTATGATAAACCCATTGCCTTTTTACTTCCCCTAATGCAGTCGTCATCGTAATCACCAAAAGCGGGTGGGTAACCCTAATGATCGAATCCAAGGCTGTTTACAAATAGACAGTGCACACATGCCGCTTGAACTAGTACTCTTTTCCTGGTCATCTTCGAGCAGAGTAGTTGTAATGCGGGAATTCAGACAGCGCGTGATTCCTTTGATGCCGACTTGTACTTGGTACAGCTGCAACCATTCCACGATCTAGCCGACCTGAATGGTGTTCCGAACTGTACTTCTGCCAGGAGAAGCGAAGAGACGAGTCCCAGGAAGCGGCCTTGAAGAAGGAGACACGATCGTTGGGACAAGAGCTTTATTAGCCTGACGTTTCGGATTCCTGCTCAAATCCATCATCAGAGACAAAAGCAGATACGGGTAGCTCATGCACAAGGGGCTGCAGTATTTATAGGGTGCAGTCGCCATGCTACCGCATATCTATGAATATTCACGGCTCCTCCCTTCATCAGGGATCGCTGCACTTTGTGTGCTGATTGTTTGATGGCCGACATTCGCGTCGTTAGTTGCTGCAATTTCATCACGTGCTTTGGATGTTGGTGTGATGATTTCTCGATCATCTGACTCATTGGTCCTGATGTTGAGAAAAGTGTTCACCTGTGCGCTCCTCGCGCGGCTAATTACTTCGCCTAGGCGAAGTATTAGCACCGAGTATGGAAGGGGAAGATCGTTTCACTTGTTAATGGACTGGGGGCCAGAAAACCATGATTACAGTAGCTTCCAGCTCACGCGGTTGTCACCTATTGCGAGAATTTCGGCCTCGTCGAATTTGCATGTGTGGCTGGATCTTGTCGAATGAGCCGCAACTTGGGAGCTAGCGTCAGTTCTCCGCACCGCTGCAGCGTGTTCAAACATTCGCGTCCGGAGCTGTCTTTCGGTTTCTCCGACGTAGTTGCTTTGCCCGCAACTGCACCAGACCCGATAAACGACTGCAGACGTTTCTCGCCGTGGCAGTTAATGAAACCGAAAGTTCCATTCTCTTCGCCGAAGCAGGGCTCAGATACCAAAGGTGCCACGAAGCACTTCCGTGTTTTGACGAACTGTGTCTAGGCAGGTTTTGATTTGACGCCTTCCGTGGGGTAATGGTGCCAGAGTAAGGTCAGTAACACTGAGCTCCTGAGGTAGACGACGATGAACGTCCCCAAACCACCTCAGTCGTCTTTCTGAGACAGCCTGGCTTATCTTTGCGATGCTGCAAATTTGGAAAGAAGTCGGTTTAATTCACTCGAGGGATGGTCCTCAAGTAGTGATCAGAATATTCCCGATCTGCGCTCGTCCTTCACGCGCACAGCCCAGCATCCACAACCACAGAGGACAGACCGGAGACGTGGCACACGCGAATCTTGGTGGCGATGGAGATGT